CAGGTGTTTCTCACCTATGAGGTGAGAAATAAGCCCATGTCTCCCCTTGTTAGTGTGAAGCTCACGAACAATTTGTGAGCCATAAAGGGCATCAACTCCGGACCCAGAGAAGCTGTTGTTTATATGATGCTTTCCTGCAAAAGTGGGGCCGATTCCTCCCCCTGGTTTGATTGTGAAGGAGATTTCTCTGGGGAGCAGATAACTTTGGAGACAGCTCCTTTAGGAGCAGACTTGCACTAAACAGTAAACATGATCTAATTCAGCACGTTAACTGAAAGCCTGAGAGTTCTTCCTCCTTCTTTTCAGGTGTGATTTGTGTCATAAACACATGGGGAAAATAAAAAAACAATGCATGCATTTGTGAAGGACACCTGAGCATCAGCACGGGGAGCCACAGCTGTCCTTGATGCCCTTCAGAAATGCCCCTGGGGCTGATGGCCTCAGACAAATTCCACATTTGCCACGACTCCACGTCTACCCATCGGCCCCGGCTGCCAAGCAGCAAGTGGAGAACGCTGTAAATTTTTTCCAGAAAATAATTTTCCCCATGGGAAGGACGTTGGACATAGGGCAGATGAATCACAGCCTCCACACGCGTGGTTGTCTCCATAAGGGGAACTAGTGGTGACTAACCCAGGCAAGAAAGCCTACAATTAGAATTGGTGAATTCTACTCAAGCCTCATTCATGAACCTGCAAGCAAAAGTTATTATTCAGCTGCAGCTGGGATGGCAAAGACACGCTGCCTGGGCTGTTGTTGGACAAGACAGTCAAAACCACACTTCAGGTTTATTGAAGGAAAGCATAGCCTTAGTCAACAACTGAGAACATTTTCAATCAACTTGTGAAAATCACCATTTTACCCTGATATATATATATTTTAATGAATATAGAGGATCTATCATTATTGTGTTGGAATTTATTGTAAGTTCATCTCCCTGTGCAGGTATGTGTAGTACTCATAATATCTCTTCCTTTGAAGGATTCACCAGCAGTGGAAGAGTTTCTACTACTGCTCTTCTTCCTTTCCTTCATCCTACCTAAATTCAAAATTACAAGTCATTCCTTCTCCAGTGGACTCAGCCCTTGGAAAAGCATCATCCACACAATGCCCAGCCCAAGGCAAAATAGGTTCTTCTCAGGAGAGGTGCAGGAACGTACAATGCCCCTGTTGCATCAGGCGTCCAACGATCTGCTGTGATGTGTGGCACCTGTTGGAATGTGGTTGAAGGGAGACTGCTGGCAATGGCTGCAGGAGGGGACCTTCCTCACAGCTCTGCTCAGAGCACTCCTCACCTCCGTGTTCCGCAGGCTGTAGATGAAGGGGTTAAGCATGGGGGTCACCACCGTGTAGAAGACGGAGGCTGTTTTCCTTTCCTCTTCCACGCGACTGGAGAGAGGGTGGAGGTACAAGAAAGCTGCAGAGCCACAGAAGAGGCTGAGAGCGGTGAGATGGGAGGTGCAGGTGAAGAAGGCTTTGTGCCGGCCCTGCGCAGAGCGGATGCTGCAGACGGTGAGCAGAAGGAATGTGTAGGAGACAAGGATGGCCAAGGCCAAGAAGGCAACGAGGAAGCCCGCACACGAGAGCATCAAGACCCGGTTGAGCCAGGTGTCAGTGCACGAGAGCTGCAGGAGCGGTGGGATTTCACAGTAGAAATGTTTCAGCACATTTGGGCCACAGAAGGACAGCTGGAGGAGAGCTGTGGTGTGCACCAAGGCGTTCAGGCTGCCAGCCACGTAGGAGCCAACCACCAGCTGCATGCAGACCCTGCGGGACACGACCACCAAGTAGTGCAGAGGCCAGCGGATGGCCACGCAGCGGTCGTATGCCATGATGGCCAGAAAGAAGGCTTCCGTGGTGACAAATACTGAATAGAAGAAGAGCTGTGTGAGGCAGCCATGGAAAGAAATGACTTTCTGCTCAGTGAGGAGTCCC